ACCCATAATGCAAGATGAAGAACATCAAAACTAAATCTATGTGATAGACATCATTGGCTTAAAGTTCTGCAACAAATTTTCTTCAAAACCGAAAACCGACCGGTTTGAATTTTGTATGGGTCTTAAGATGGGTGTTCCGGGTTGTGTTGGTTCAACTATATGCCAAGTTTACATGAAACCCGAATCGGGTCACTAGTTTTAAGATGGATTTTTCGGGGTTGTGTTGGTTCAAAATACTGGTTACAAAAGTGAGCTACTTCTTTTGTAGAGAAACGAAATTAAATGTACCAACCGGTTTCGTGGAGTTCAAAAAAACACCAGAACGTAGCTGTTCATGTGAAGGAGGGATTACAAAATTTGCATCTCTGAGAATGGCCTCACAGTTATGTGGCTTCTCCGACGAACCTTCCACCGCCGAATCAACCCGTATCACCCTTTCCTCATAGTCAGACATCTTCTTCGTAGTTAATCTCTTTGAGGAAATTATTTTGCTGCTAAATCTATGAAATTTACTTATTTTGGAAAATGTGTTATTTCAGTACTCTACATATTGACAAATAAATTCTTCTAATTATATAGCCCTAGGGAAAAGGGTTTGAAGAACTTATTCTGGTTTTTTTTTGCTTTATTTTTGTTTTAATGAATTCCCACCGTTTTAAAATATAAATTATTCTAAAAGTTATTTTTATGTTTTAAAATATAAGTTGTTTTGATAATTTTAGGTATTTTTTAACCAATAATAAGTTGTTTTTATTAATTAAATTATTTTTATTATATATAAGATGATATTTTTAAAAAGAAAAGTAATTTTTTAATATTCGTGGTTTTAGCCAAAACAAATTATATTTTGAAAATGAGAAAATAAGATTCTCTTTAACCGGGCAAATCGAAAATAAAACTATTTTCATACCCAGAAAGTTGGATTTTTTCAACTGGATTTTTTCAACTTTTTTGTTATTCTTGTTTCCACTATAAAATTTTTGGCTGCAACCTATCATAATCCTAATCCTATCCAAATTCCATTCACTTTCTAACAAAGCAAGAATATGTGCCTTCAATTTTTATATTTCTCTTATTTAAAAAAAGAAAAAAGTAGAGATAATGATTCGGTGCTTCGCGTGGACACCACTTCTAGGTGCTCCCTTCATCACGTCCGTTAATTTCACATCTCCACCATCTTTCAGAATCATCGCATCTCGTTCTTGCG